TGGACAGCACTTTTCTCTCCTGCATGCACTTCTGGCATGGGGTAAACACCAGTATTCACACAGGCTTCTCGATGGATTCTGAGGAAGATCCTTTCTTAGTTTCTTTGTTTGCAATCTGTCTGCCCAACAGAAATGTCATTTCAGTTGCATCTAAGCATTATGCAGCTGCTCATGTGGCTGTAAATAAATAACATAGTGGATAAGGCTACGTTTAGCTTCCCATGTGATTTAGAATCCAATCTGGTATCTGCTAAACTCCCCTGGAACAAGAGCAGACCAAGTCCTCATTTTCCTGTTTTCTAGAGTACAAAATTTATGTTATAATCTCTGATTTAACCTGGATTCTGTACCAGTACTAGGACTTTTAATTCACTGATTATTATTCTTTCCATTTGCAAACATAATGTTCAAGCACTCCAGAATTTATAGCCTTTTATATTTAGATATACATATAGACCAAGAAATTTCATTTTTTGAAAAATCCTACTTAACATTTTAATAGCTCCAATCCAAAAAAAAGAAAAACCACCCCACCTCTATTTAGTAATGCTTTACAGACATGCAGGAAGAGCTCAGAATATCAGAACAAGGTTTGCACAATGTTGATGAGGCTTTGGGGGCTTGGGAGAGAGACTGAATATCCTGGATAAAAGATATATCATAAAGGCTGCTTTTTTGTTTCCAAAACAATATATTTTTTTTAATCTACTGGTCCAGAATTTAAGCAAAAATGAGAATATGACTTGTTTCTCTGTGGTATGCTCTTCATCCACAGTGTTCTAGAATTAAACAGTGCAAGTAGTGCAGTTACAGAGATAGATGTGGAGCCTAAGGAGCTAGTGAACAAAAACAGTTAAGAGAAATCAATGTTTTTTGGGGAGGAGAGGAAGGGAAGGAAATATCTTTCAAATCTCGTAACAAGCTTTGTGGGGGATGTCAATGCAAGGGCAGTTGCAAGTTTTACGGATATTCCTTATCCCACATTGCTGGCATTGAAAAAAAAAAAAAAAGAGAAAAATCCAGAGTGCCTTTGCCAGTGAACTTGGCTCTTCTTTCCATTTTGCTAGCATATTCTTGCACATCCTGAGTGGAGGGGGGTGCTCTGTAGGAAAATAGGCCATCCTCTTGGCATAACACGCAAGAATTTTTGCGAGACGGCTTGCTCAGGTCTTTCTGTGGAGAGGGCTTGCGAGTGCGTTTCTGCATCCCAGCCCCTTGTACGGTGGTTGGATTTGTGTCGGAGAGACACGACAGGTCTGCCCTTGAGATGGAGCGGTGGCACCGTGCCAGCTGCTCGCCACGCTGATCTGTTTCTCTCCAGAGCAAAATCGCAACCTGCTGCCGTGGTTCAGCTCTGGGTCAGACCCCGGCCAGGCTACTGGGGGGGAGCATGGGTTGGATGTGGAACTTGCTGAGATTGTGTGAGGAGAGCTGCTTTCGTTTCAGTTAGCCCAAAGCAACACCTTCTCTGCTATTCGTAAATGAAATGCTGTAGGATTTTGGTATCCTCAGATTAAACTTGCTTTGACCTTGAGTGTGGACAGTAGCATATAACTATAGGCTTAAGTTAAGACAGGTTCAAAATCTGAAAAACAACAACAAAAAAAACCATACAGCTACCCTTTAATTTAGGCAAGTATTATTTGCTTTTGCAAGGAAAGATTCTGCCGTGTGTTTCATTGGGATTTCATTCATCTTTATTGATGGCATTTCACTTAATTTGCTGCCATTTGAGAGCAAAGGGGAGAAGAGTAGAGTAAAACAGGGGTAAAAATGGGAAAGGGAATTGCTAGTATGAGGGGGGAAAAAACCAACAACGACAACAAAAAAAAAAACCCTCATTGTGTTTGTGTCTTTGCAGTCTCCATACATTTTAAAAAAATCTTTGTGCAGATCACTATGAAATGAAAGAACACAGATGATCCCGAAGGAAGTGCAGCCAGGATATGTCCTCAAATGAGCGTGTTCCTGCTGTAATGCAGAGGAGCTCACGGAGCTCATCCAAGATCTGGCAAAGCAGTGGTTACCTCTCCCTCCATCTTCCGAATCGCTCTGGGATTTGTGGGGCACTGCTTTGAATTTTACTCGGGATGTGTTTTGGGAAGGGTTTCAGAGGTGCACCCTGGCATTAGCCACTCCATGCCAGCCTGTGATTGCTGGTTAGCTGGTTAGAAAGGCTCCAAACAGGCAGGGTGCTGTCATGCCTCCCACCCATTTTTCCCATCAAGCACATCCCTGTCTTCAGCAGGGCTGGCTGAAGTCCTGGAACATGATGTGTGTTATTTTTTTTTCCCTGTGTTTTTATTAGCAAAACAAAAATATTGTTTTGCTTACCTTGGTCTGACTTCTTTGGACATCTTTTTATGCCCCCTGATTGAAAATAGGATATTAGGTTAGATGGATGCTTAATGTGAACCAGTACAGCTGTTCTTATAGAATCAGTATATTTCTGATACCATAAAAATACCCAACACTTTTTAAATCTTACTAAAATATTAGTCTGGGAAATAACACACGGCAAGTTTCCCTGTGTAAGAAGAAAATTCTCCCTCCCTAGCCCATGATGAAATAGCTTTTTTCTTACAGCTTTGGGGTTCCCACCTCTAAATTTGACAGAAGGCTTCATTACTTTTGTGCTAGAGGACAGGGAAGATAGAAACTTCTCACCTAATTTTTCTGGAGCAGTTGCTGTTTTATGTATTTTTATCCTCAAGGAAGCTCAGGCAGTCAAAAGGAGAGCAGGACGGGCAGAAATGAGCATCTTTGGAGATACAGAAAGGAGACGAACCTTGTAACATAAGGAGACTGGCTAAAGTAACCCAATGGCATTTGTGCCTGTGGGATTAAAGCATCAGAACCTTCTTGCTGCTTCAATTTCTTCTCTAAAATAAAGCAACCTCAAAGGCTTTTATAAATCACTTAGGAGCTCAGAGCCATCATGTTCTGTGACTGGCCAGCTAAAGAGCATGGAAATGTGTGTCTGATAAGCGTGTGGAAGAGAAGGTGTGCAAGGGAATTCCCTATCCTGATATCTCTAAATATTCCATAGCCTCACAGACAGGGAATGTCACTTTTTTTCCCTTTTTTTTTAATGCTGTCTCAATATTTTTCTATGACTTGCTCTATTATTTATTCTGGACTGGCTTTCCAATTTGCAGTGCCCTGAGCAAGTGTGGTGTCCGCCTTGAGCTACCAGAGGGGGAATCTGGCTGTGAATTGCTTCCCCATCTGTCATGGAGCGAGAGAGAAAGATCTGAACTGGCAGTGATTTTTTTTATCTCCCTTCCTCTTGGTTCCACTGCCAGAAGGGGAAACTGGAACTGGCCCATGAGTTATTCAGTTAATGTAGGGCCACAGAGCTGGAGACCCCCAGACTGCAGAGCCTGAAGTGCTAACACCCCCTTGGGTGCCTGCTAAATATATTGTGACAGGCATTTAGTTCCCTCGGTGCAGAACTTTCCAGCTGCTTCGCCGCTTCCTGACGACTTATACACTCTTCTCCGATTCAGCATCGCTACTGTCGTGGGCTGCCTGCTCTGAGCTTCAGCTTCTCGGAGTTCTTGCAGAATTTCACTGGATAAGTGTTCTGCTCATGCTCAGCAGAAGCCCCCAAGTCCCGATGGATTGCTTGGTCCCGAGCTCTTTGTGATATATTGGCAGCTTTTTGTTGTCTCTTCTCTGCAACTTTGTGCTGAGGACTGCAGGTTCTCTTCTCCTTGACCAGCTCGTTTCCCTTCTATGTTTGCCTTTCCCCTGCCCATGTTTTACTGCTTTCCAAATTACCTGATATTTAGTAAAAGTAATTTATTTCTCCCTGTTTTCCCATTCTCTTTTCCAAACCTCTACCATATTCAGTGCAAAAAACTGGAGGATGCTTTAGACCTGACAGTTAGCATCATCATCTTTGTCATCATCTCATCCATGGCAGAAGACTCCTGCCTGCACCTTGCACAGTTCCTGACACCGAAGAAAGGAGAGATAATCTAAAACCAATCCCCTGAACCATGGATCAAGACTCTGTCTTCAAAATCCCTCTTTTGGACCCAATATTTGTTTCTAAAGAGGGTGTTATTCAAGCAAAATGCCATGCCCAATGCTCACACCTTGCAAGTTTGGGAGCCCTTAGTCCTTGATTCAGATTTTGTGCTTTGGCTCTCTCTCCAGTTTGGGGATAGCACTATTTAACTTGGAAGGGATGGACTTCAAGCTGGTTGGCCCTGCATATGCAGCAATACCTGATGGTGCCAATTGTTTACAAGAAGTTCTACCTGTGAAGTTAGATAAAAGACAAATTATGAGGAAAAAATAGCCTTTTCTTGAGGTCACTCTGACCAATGTCAAACTACATAGCTGAGAGGGCCCGAGATTCAGGCGTCTTTAACAAACTGTGACCCACAGTGATTCAACCTGCAATCTCTGGCATTTTTTAAATGTAGTTTAAAAAAAATGATTCCTAGCTCATTCACAGTGTAGCGTTTTGGTTTTTCATCCCTCCGAATTGAGAGGTCTTGCTTGCTAACAGGTTTAAAGTTCTCCTAATTTTTTTCCACCCAATTATTGGTTCCTTTTGTCACTTGTGTAGTCATGTGGCAATAGCTGAAACTCGTCTGAGCTCTGCTCTGTTAAGGTGTGATTGTCCATGCACATGCTTAACTTGCATGACTTAAAAGCACATCTGTAATTCACTGGTACTGATGTTTATTAGCAAGAATTAAGCTTAGCAGTGACTACGGGATCCTACTCTGTGTTCAATCAGCCCTTCCCTTATGAAATTCAGCGTTTGCATTTTGTTGAGTGTAAAGTTACCTACTTCCTCTAATCAGTATTTCATTTAGCACATAACAAGCATACAGCTGCTTCTGAAAACGGTGCAAGGTTCACCCTGGTAATTCATGATTTCCACCCCCAAATGCAAGCGCTCTGGGAGCGCAGGGAAGAATGCTGTGTAGGCAAGAGCAAAGGCAGCTGTATACTGTGAAATAAGAAGGCAAAATACATTATCACAGCTAGTAGATGTATTTTAAAAGTGGAAACATCTATATTTAATTGCATTTAAAATACGTAGTGAGAAACCACAGTTATACATTGTTATAACAAACCTTCACATCTGAAGTCAGAATAATACAAAAAAAAAAGTGCTGATTATATATGATCAGAAAAACTGAGGCAAAATGTTGACAACATCTTCTAAAATATTAGCATGTGGCCCCTGCCAGCAACACTCTAAAGGTCAAGTTAAATAATCTCAGTGTTGATCACTGGTTTTCTGTAGCTTACCAAAAAACAACAACCGAAAAAACTGTTCATTTTTTTCTTCTTTTTTTTTTTTTGCATAGCTTTCAATATTGCTGCACTCTCACCTCTGCATATTGCAAGCCCATCTCAGTTCTCAGATAATTTCTTTAAAGTTCTGAATATCTTTTTTAGTTCAGTTCTCCTCAAATACATAATATATAATTTCTACCAATTATAAATACATCATTTTTATTAATCTGATTTCAGTAACATGCATTTGTATAATTACTGTACAATCAAAATAGACATTGACTTTACACAGTGTATGCTTTTATTTCCATGATATTGTTCAGACACACTGCTGAACAAATCAAGTAAATGGGAAAATAAAAAGGAAAAGAAAAGGAGGAATCAAAGAAAAAAAAAAGGAAACAGAATCTCACAGTGTTTACAGACAAAAAAATAAAAGAAAGAAAAAATACTTATCAGAAAAAGGATTTATTAATACATAGAAAATCCCCACAATAGTTGAAACACACTTTAGAAACTAGTAAACACGTTAAATAGAGTTGTGCCAATTACACGGTGCCCAAGCATCTGCTTGCTCTTAATTAGATGGGGAGGTGAATGACCACTGTTTATTTTCATTTTCCTCATTAATTATGAAAAACTGCATTTAATTCATCTTGCATGGTGAGAGACTGGCTGCGCAGATGCAAGTCGTATGGGAAGTGGCTCTCTGTGGGCAACCTGAACATGGAGCTCTGCCCAAGGGGACCCCTGGGTGGCACTGCACAGTAATGCATGCCGTAATTGTAATTTTTGCCATAGTCCAAGCTCTCTTCTTGCTTCAGGGAAAATATCCCATTATAGTTAATTGGGGGAGGACTTAAGGGACCTTCAAACTGTGGGCTGGCGCACTCAGGGGACGTGCTCTCGTAGAAGGACTCGTAAGCGCTGCAGTAGTTGTAGGGCTTCATGGACTTGGCGTTGTCGAGAGTCCCGTGCCCCGGCGGGGTGCCGAGCTCAGGGCTGTGGTAGGGGGGGTAGAAGGTGGAGTAGGGCGACCTGGCATGGTGGCCACCGTCGCCGGCCTGGCCCATGAGGAAGCTGCGGGCGTTGAGCTGCAGGCATCCCGCCACCAAGTTTGTAGTCGGCTGCGACAGACCCTTGCACAAGTTTTGGACGAACGTGAGCAGGTCGGGTCTCTTGCCGATTCGCAGGATTTCAGAAAGAGCCCAAATGTAGTTTTTGGCCAGTCTTAAAGTTTCTATTTTGGACAGTTTTTGTGTTTTAGAGTAGCAAGGGACCACTTTCCTTAAATTGTCCAGCGCGTCGTTAAGGCCGTGCATCCGGTTCCTCTCCCTAGCATTGGCTTCTTGTCGCCTGAATTTGATCCTTTCCATTCTTATCTTGCTCGTCTTTTTTTTCCGAAGGCCCCTTCTCCTTGGCAAACCGTTCTCATCCTCCTCTTCCCTCTCTTCCTCTTCCTCCTCCTTTTCTGTGTCTTCTCCAGGAGACCTTTTAATATTCTTGCCTCGGAGCACGATCTGCTTTGAAAAGCTTTCTGGATTCTTAATTTGCTTTTGGTCATCACTTTCTCTGGAAAACTTTCTGCACATCTGGGACTCTGGCATTACAACAGACTCATCAAAGGGTAGTGTTAACATGGTTCTACAATCTTAAGTTACCTGAAAGAATGCCAGCACAATATTTAAATATTTCCATTTATAAAGTTTACACACTCAAACACACCACATCACGCACCTTTCATTTGTCTGTGTGCACACTCTATATATGAGTATAAAAACGCACAATCTACATTTCTCCCCCCAAACGGTCAATCACAATTGCCTTTTTATGTGCTTGCTTATTAAAAAAAAATCAACGCTGCCCAGAATTTTAAAATCACTTGAAAAATTCAGAATCTTCTAACTAAACATTATCTTACAGATAACTAAATTAATGTTTAAAATATACAATTAAATCCCTGACCATTTATCCGATTTTAAACAAGACATTGGAACCCTTACCACCTCAGAATTCAAAGAAATGCAAAACATAAAGCAGTACAGAAATTTCATTAATCCAGATTCCCCTGGGTGAAAAAATGAGAAGAGCAAGAGCAGTCTTAAAATTGAAAAGTGCCGCATCTCTATTCACTGATAATTTTAAAATCACTTTTTGACTTATATTTTGAAGTTTTTCCCCCCTCCACATTTGCTCTCTCATGAATCAAAATTTTAAACTCCAGTAAGTTAGTGTGTGAGGAAAAAAATTAATGACCCCCCCCAAATACTTATTTAATAACATAATTAAAAATTAAGTAAGATTTTTTTCCTAATGATTGGTGTGAAAATACATATCACATTTATTTCGTTTCATAACAAAAAGCTGGACTAGTCTAATCCTAAACGTACTCAAATTAGAGTTAGAAAATAAAATCTGTCCACCTCTTTTCTTCACCCCCCCCCCGCAGCAAAATTTCCAAATCATATAACATATTTTGGTCAGAATTAACTTATTTTCTTTTGCCTCCCCTTTTCTTTTTCTTCTGCCTTTTTTTCTCCCCCATGAATCGGGGCGAAATTTCCCTGCACGCTATAGCAGTGTTTATGTTCTGCAAGGTTCAGACGTCTCCCTCCAGCTAATATCTGACAGGAAGGGTCTGTCGATTCTGCCTGCAATAGTGCACGTGTGTTCCGAATCCAGAATGAAATGGGAAAATAATTTCCTTTCCAAATTATTTTGCTTTTGTTTTCAGTTTGGGAGCAGCAGATCCCTGGACCCACTGTCCTCAAAGAGACAAGCAAAAACGAATGCAGGGACTTTTTAACAGAACAAAACTAAACAAAAACCCCCATAAAAGACTAACTCTCTCAGTATTGTCTACACACTTGAAATATTACATAATACCAATGAAAGTATGCAATTGCATCAAAAGAATAAAATGTTAGGAGGAGTTAGTAGACAGTAAATAGCATACATAAAATACAAGACAATGATACTGTATCTTTAAACACTTGCATGCACACCCAGCACCAACTGAAATATATCTTTATTTGTATTACCTTAGCTTTTTATTTCATTCAACAATCAGTTTTCATTTTTTGCCTTCCAAATCTTTTCAGTCTGAATGTCGCATCGTCTCCTGGAGCCTAGATCTGTGTGTATCTGCACTATCTCATTGATCTCTAAAAAGTGACATTGATGCCAACTGCCAGAGCTGGTACCCATGCCATCTGCTAGTGACGTCACGGGGCAGAGAAGACCACGTGAGCCTTTCTCCTGGGACCTTCATTCTGCACTGATCATCTGGCATCCCTCTAAGTGGGTACCAGCATTCATGTATCAACACAGAAGGTTAGACTGATGGAAAAAAAAAAAGAGGGGGGGGGAGGAAAGAAAGAAAGAAAGAAAGAAAGAAAAAAAAAATCTGCACCAGCAAAATACATACGGGAGGTGCATTTTTACAGGAGCTGCTGCTTTTTAGCAGCCCGGCTGCACGCACGGGCATGCCAGCGCCGGGTGCTCTCCCTGCCTACAGGTACGAGTGCCCTGGAGTTGGTGGTGTGGTTTTGGTTGTAGGGAAGGTGCTGCCTTGCCTAGCTCCCAGTCCCTGCTGTGCACCTGGTGCCCAGGAAAAAATTAAAAAAAAAGAAAAAAAAATATATAAAGCAGGGAAGAGAAAGCAGCAGTCGGGAAGTGATGCTGGTACTATCACACGCAGAGCAATCGCCAAAGTAGTTCTTGCTCAGTGCCTTTCGTGAGCAATTTTGGGGCATTTTATTTATTTATTTATTCTTTTAAGTGCAGCGTGTTGCCCCAGCGCACACAGTAACAACAGCGAATTTCCCCTGGGCTCAAAGAAAGCCCTTTGGCGTTTGAATTTTCTTTTTTTTTTTTTTTGATGTTTCTCCCCACCCTGAAAAAGGAGTTCGAGGGAAAACTGGAAGTACAGTGGGATGATTTTCCAGGCGTTACCCTTCATGGAGAAGGAGTGGAGAGCCGCGCAGCCCCTGGTGCACACTCACACCTGCCTTTGCAGAAATGCTTTTGCAGCCACAACTTAGGGGAATCAAAAAAAAAAAACAAAAACAAAACCCCAAAACATACCCCCGAAATCCTTAACCTTTTCTCTACATGGCTTTTTTTTTGCGTGTTTTTCTAAACACCGAGGTCTTTGGGGATGCATCCGTCCTCCTCCAAAATCCCTCCTCGTCACTTGCCCCTTTTCCCGCTCCCTTCTTGGTGCCCTTTTCGGCGCCGGGCGCCCCGCTTGCCGTCAGCTGCCTCTCTGGGGCTCTCGGCTCTTTCTCTCTTAACCCTTTTGTTTCTCTCTCCCTCAAACAGACAAGAAACTGTTAAATGGATCTGACAAAGCCTCTCGGCTAAGCCCTGCCATGGAGCTTATGGCAAACTCCACCTTGGGTTTTTAGCAGTGGTTGTGTCACGTCTAAGCGCTAGCAAGAGAGGTGCGGGCAGAATGTGTCATCTTAGAAGCATTTTTCCCCCCTTTTTTTTTTGTTAAAGTTTGCTTTTATTATTATCATATATCATTGCTTTTTAGGGACTAAGTAATCTCTGTTTTAAAAAGTGAGAGACTGAGTGCGCTCTTAGTATTAAAATAATCCCTGGCAGAGCTGCTATTGTTATGGGTCTGTGTCAGCGTTTCCATTGTAAATCCTGTTTTTGAAGGGTTTATAACTCATCTGCTTTAATTCACGTTGGGCCCAAGCTTGGCATTAATGTCCTCAGCCCCGATCCAATTATTTTGTTTTCACAAAGTTTCATTTAAATCTGTTTAGGCATTTCTTTTGATTAAAAAAAGAGGCGGCAGTAAAATGTGTGTGTGGAGGCTGCATTATTTGTGTATGTGCTTAAGAATTTTAAGGGACCTTAGCTTAAAAAGAAAAGGAAAGAAAAAAAAAAGCCTTCTCCAAACTTTGTATTTTTTATGGAAGTGAAAAATATCAGGTCATTCATTCCTTAAACAGCTCAGGCCTCATTTTTTTTAAAAAAACAAATATATTTGAAGTGACAAAGATGTTAAAACTTAAGTAGCAACTGCTCAAGAGGAGCAAGCACTATACTATTCATAACATTCATTTCATTTTATTCCAAATATTACAATCGGTGTAACAGAGGAGAGGGTAGAATCCCATTATTCTCAATCAGAATTTATGTATTAAGATTTATATTGTGAAGGGTCCTAAGGGTTGTCAACCTTTTCAAGGATTTTGCATATTCAGAGTATTATACAATGCACAATAATCTAAATATGCAAAGTCCTGGGGAACCAAACTCTGTGTCAATGCATACTAAAAATACTATAAGAAATTGAAGGAAAGGTTGACATTATAGTGGCTCTGTGTTAAAGGAAGGGCTGTAAAATTTCCAGCTACAGTTTCTCAACCTCCAAAATACACTTTCATAAGAGTATCCCCCCACTCCCTCCCCATCCCGGCTTTTTTCTTTTTAATTGATGGACTATTTTTTTTTAATTCCTCAAATGTTATTGTAAAATACATTTTTGGATGGCTCTTATACTGCCAGTAAAAATAAAATAAATGAATTAGTTTGTGTTGAGGGATTCCCTCTGTAGTAGTAACATTACATTTTTGCAGATTCTTAATCCATCATTTGACCTTTTTAGTATTTTCCAATAAATAGTGGAGAAACAAAATAGCTGAGATATCAAGGTTTAAAAAGCCTCTACTGTGCATGCATAATAACTTTTCATAAGGATTTTTACTACGCATTTTGTATTATGGATCCATGATATGCAAATGTGTACTGCTGTTAATATGCATTCACAGCATACCTCATAACTGCTGCTTTGCTGTCTACTGCGAATGCATGTTAAGAATAATACACAAAACACAGAATTAAATGCATTCTATAGAATGGCTTCTTGCAACCAAATGTACTACTGAATACATGCTGCACATTTTTTCCTGTGTCCAAACTGTGTAGTTTCAAATTATAACGGTGCCTGTGTTTCAAGAGCAATATTATTATAGTACATTAAGCACAGCTAAGCATTAACAGATTCACTGAAATAATACGGAGCTCAAAGGATTGCTGAACATCCACAGTGCATCCAGGGGACTGACCCAAACTGCATGGAAATCGGAAGGGAGTCCTTCTAACAACTTCAATACACTTTAATCAGATTTTCGGGGAAATCTTCCACTTTTTTTTTTTTTTTTTTTTTCCTTCTCTTCTCTGCTCCATGGTGCTCTCCCACCTTCTCTGGTCCATAACTCCCAATCGCAGTGTGACAGGAGAACCACCTCAATACTAGAGGGTGTCTCAGTGATGCTTGCTCAGGACCAGTATCTGATACCGTTGCTCATGTGGTTTGCTGTGTTGTAGTCTGGGTCACGCCTAGGTAGTAGTGAGACATCGTGGGATGGCAAGAGATAATTCATAAGTGCAGGGAGAGAACTCGGAGATTTTTTTACTTTGTTCTTGTAAAAAATAAGGCAGCTTGAACCTGATCGATGGTATCTTGGGCTGGGAGACCGCAGTCCCCAGTGAGATCCATGCTTTCGAAAACTGGGGCTACCTGTGGAGGTAGGACCTGGTCCTGCTGCGATGGATCAGCGGTGGCCACGGAGACAGTGTGCGACTGCTGTGCTATCCCACATGCGTTTGAGGCCCGGTAGGGCTGCAGGAGGGGCGAGGAGAATCCCTTCCAGGGACCACCAGCCTTTCCTACCTCTCCATGTCCCTGATATGCTGGCGTAGCCTCCGGACCTCTTTCTGAGTGGGAGCAGCCGTTCCTACGAAATGGACTTAGCCTGTCTCCCAGCACTGCTGTGGAGATGTATGGGGATACGCATCCTTCTCCCAGGGGAGATTAAAGGAGATGCTAATAAGGACCTCTGGAATCGGAGAACTAACTTATGCTAGTTCAAGAGGATTTGGTTCAGTCCGAAAATGTGATTTTAACACAGCTGCTAATGCTGGGAGATAGTATGAATGTGTTTTGCACTAAGCCCCCTGTAATGAGGATGTACTTTTTGCTCTAATCAGACATCCTTAGTTTTATGTTTTGAATAGGCTGTTAGGGACAAATATGAAAGAGCTGCAGAGGGGTTAGTTACTCCATTTTAATGGGAGTCACTTGAGTAAAACATGAATTTAGAATCTGAAAATGGACTCTAATACTAATTGAATATGGCTAACCAAAAACACGTTTGTGACCAGAAATTGCTCGAAGATTACTGAAGCACATGAATAAAATGGCTCTGATTTAGATATGACATACATTTGGCATAATCCTCTTAATTTTGAGTGAATCCTGCTTACACTAACATGAATGGAGAGTAGGAGCAAATAATTTAAAGAAAGATGCGCTTAAAAAAAATATCGAGCAAAACTTGTATTAATCTGATCACCTTCCATCTAGAGAAGTGATGGCATAGCACAGACTGAAAGTTTTGCTGTCAGATTAATAGGTAATACATACCTTGCAACAACATGGGATTTAAGGTACCTGTTCTCCCTTGGGAAAACTGTTCTAGTCAGACCAGTTGTGTTAATTCTTGCAACTGCAGGGGGTTAAGAGCATTCCCTTCGCTTTGTGGTGTAAAGCAACCCTATGGTATACCTGAGAAATGCTTTTTTTAAAAAATTTTCATTCACACTTAGTGACTGGATTTGTCTCAGTACCATGACGATGCTCTGAAATCAGTGAGTCCTGCAGCCCTGTGAGGAGCCCAGCACGGACACGTGGCTGTGGGTCATATCCTGACGTTGCTGAGCAGGGCCTGCTCTTCAGTGGCAATCCCTGTCAAACAGCTGGTTAGCTCTGCTGCTTTTGGTCTCTTTATGTGCTCCCGCTGCCTGTGGGGATTCCCAGGTACATTTCTTCTACGTTTCCATTTTGAGATGATCTCCTTCAGAAACCTGAGATACTACTTTCTTGCAAAACAGGCTGTTTTACTCTCCCTTCCACAATTCCCCCCCTCTACGAGGTGTCTAATGGGAAATTCTTGCCAGACCCTCCATGGGGAGTTTCCCCAGGCTTTTCCTCCTTTCCTGCAGCCTGTTCCCTGCGAGAGGATTACCCGCTAAACTCTAAATCCTGAGCTGTGCTGGGGCAGGAGCCCCTCTTGGAAGCCGTGGGAGATCTGCGCAAGGAGTGGGGCAGCTTCGCGGAAAGCACATGCCGAGACGAGCTGTTTGTCTAGGGCTACGCAGCAGGCTCTAAATTAAATGCGAGACACAAGGAGAGAGAGAAATTAACACTGGCTTGACAGGAGCGCAAAGCAAAACCTAAAAATAATAACAGCTTCTG